ACAGCTGACAGTTCTAGCTTCATTCTAAAAAAAAATTGAGCGATTTGGTTGAGTTTTGGAGATTTTACAACAAGTTGAAGATGGAAGACCAAACGTGCATTTTTGCCATATTTTACTGTTTTACTTCCATAAAGGGAAGAACACGCGTCAAACTTGAAAAAAGTTGAATACAAGTTTACGGTGACAATGCTCTACAAGAACGTCAATGCGGATTTTGATTTCAACGACAATCCTCGGTCAGGGAGGCCCACCGAGGTTGATGGCGGCATTGATCGAGTCAAACCCACATGACATGACATGAGAGATTGCAGAAACATTGAACATCCATCATTCAAGCGTTCACGACCACCTGAAGAAGCTGGGATACGTAAGCAAGCTCGATATTTGGGTTCCGCATGAACTCAAAGAAGTTCATTTGATGGTGCTTATAAACATCTGCAATATGCTCATTAAATGTGAGGAAAACGATGCTATTTTGAAGCAACTGATAACTGGTGATAAGAAGTGGATTGTTTATAACAATGTAGTGCGCAAATGGTCTTGGTCTTGACATGATGATTCACCTCAAACAACATCAAAAGCAGACATTCAACAGAGGAAGGGTATGCTCTCAGCATGGTGGAATTTTAAAGGTCATGTTTTTCGAGCTCCTAACAAGGAACCAAACAATCAATACAAATGTGTACTGTCAGCAATTGGACAGTTTGAACGAATGCATCATCCAGAAACGTCCAGAGCTCGTTAATTGTAAAGGAGTTGTGTTCCATCGCGACAATGCAAGACCACACACAAGTTTGATCACCCATCAAAAATTACTGGAGCTTGGATGGGATGTGTTGCCACACCCACCATACTCACCTGACCTTGCGCCATCAGACTTCCACTTGTTTCGCTCTCTTCAAAACTCCTTGCATGGTATAACGTTCAATTCAGATGAGGCTGTAAATCAGGACCTTGTTCAGCTTTTCACAAATAAAGACAGGTCCTTCAATGAACTAGGAATTATGAAGCTCACTGAATGATGGCAAAAGGTTATCGAACAAAACGGGTAATATATCTGATTGATCATTGTTCTTTATATAAATAAATGACCTTTGAAAAACATAGACAAAATATGTCATGACTTTTCCCACAACCCAATGTATATACATACAC